TAATGCATATTAAGTCAATTTCTCTAATTAATCAAATCTTTTTTGTTTCTACAATTGATGTCACCGAATCGCTATATATCTTTGATTAGATTGGAGAAAAGACAGATTTGCGTCACTCTCAAAACAAACCCAGCAACATGTTGCATACCCCATCGAAATCGTAATTAGAATTGATAATATGTAGTTCATTGTTGGATTAATGAAAGATTAAATCAATACTAAATGTTGGATATATATTATAGTGGTTATTAAAAACGTTTTATGGATTTCTTTTCTGGATAGGAAGCAAACGCACACAAGTTGTGATATAAAAAGTATAATTAAGATAGGTTTAGTGTTTACAATTATAATGGTTGAAACACGTTTTATAGAAATTGTTTTTTGATTGAAAGCAAACACACAAGTTGTGATATGAAAAAAGTGTAAGATGGGTTTAGTGGATACACTCATTGACCCTAAAAGAAACGGCGGTGACCAATTTAAGAGCCATTCACAGTTCACACTCACACACATTCATAGTTATAGATATTTTTATTGTGATCTGACACACACATACACAGATATAGATATTTTTATTGTGATTCCAAGTTAAAATAGCAAACAGTTAGAGCATAGCTTTTTAAGGTCAGCTGAAAACTTTTTTCTGTAAATAGTTTTATACTTGATCAATTACACATTTCATCAAAAAAAAAAAAAAAGCAAGTCTACTACCAAGGAAAAATATAAAATCGTTATATTTTTCATTTTAGAAATTTGAAAATAATTTATATATGAACTATAAAAAAAACTCCTGAATATAATTGTGCGTAATTTGATTTTAATTATCGTCATTGACGTGTTTATAAATGTTTGCATATGAAAGATAGGTATATAATCTTACTAAGAAATTTCTAACTCTCAGAGATAATTGTTAATGTTCTAAATTTCGAAGACATCAAAGAGATGTGTCATAAGAACTACAGCATTACATGATGTTACTGCAGAGAAATCTATTATTCATTGAACAAGCTGCAACGTTTGCAGACATTTATATACATATATATAAAGAGAACTATAGAATCCAAGAGAACAAGTACACGATATACATGAGTCTAATAATATACACATAGAAGGATAATTTTAAATATCCAAAAACGCTCTTTTCAAGATGGAGGGATGAAGTTAAAACCAATATTGTTAATTAAATAGAGGATAATTCGCATAAGCATTTATACAAGTAACTCGTAAAGCACCATTTTGAACGAGGCCGCCCAAATGAAGTCATAATTCTTTTGTTGTTAGTGAACTGCAATATGTTTCATTCGAGAATGGAAGATTGGATTAGCACATAGAGAAGTAGCTTATACATTACCAATTATCACAATACATGACTACATAAGTGGAGGCTATGCGGAAGCCGAGCTTAGACATATGGGAAGATAACCACTAAACATTCAAAGCATTAATTATAAATCGGTTGTTGCATAAACTATAACAAATAATTGACCGCATATTTTATATATGGCGGAGTAAATAGAAGGTACTGATGATCAGACTACATTTGAAATTGTATAATAAGAAAAAATCGAAAACAAATGTCCTATGACAAAAAAAGAATAAATAAATACATATGGAGTAACTGATTTTTGGCGGTATATATAATTAAAAGTGCAAAGACAAAAAATACAGCTATACCAAAAATTATAAGTCAGAATCGAAGTAAGAGGTTTGTCAAATTCGAGTTCCACACGGCAGCTACTCTTTTGTTTTTCATTAGATCTTATAGCAGCCGTAAAATCTAACTTAATATAAAAAAAAAAAAAAAAAAAAAAAAAAAAAAAAAAAAAAAAATCTAACTTAATATTGACTTTAATAGTCTATATATGGGTTACTGTCTTACTGATACTGTCCGATGTGGCAAAATTTAATTATTGTTATATAATACTTTATATATCATTTCCTGGTATCTTCAACGATCAAACATGTTACGTTTATTTATTAACAAATACATAGACGTCAAACATTATACAAAATAAAAAATAGAAAACAAAGTATTCCCATATCAATCTTATCATCCATATCTGTACTTTCAAATTTCAATCTTGAAGTCGTTTAAGATTTATGGACCAATATTTGTCCCTTAGGAACTCAAAAGGCCAAAGGTCCAAAACCGAAAACGCTCAGGTCCATTTTCGTAATTTCAAATCGAATGTGGTAGTTTTGAGTCGTGAGGTTTTTCTCTATTTGACAACATTTTTATTTATTACTTATAAAAGTGTCAAACCCGTATTTCTAGTATATGTTTTTAATTAAATTGACAACTTAAAGAAAGAAAAAGTTGATACGCATTGCCGGCAAAAGTCCCAAACTTTTGACGTAAATATGTTTCATAGTCATCCGGAAAATTTGAGTTTTTGGCCTTTTTGCTATGTAAAAGATTTTTACCCTATAATATGGATTTTGTCGGATCAGAGTAAATACTTTCTTTTTTTTGGATTTGATTGTATTCCGGGTTTTATGTTATAGCGACCAAGTGGATAATCTATGAATGAACCACGTCTCAACAACATCTTAATCACTAAATATGTGATTAGTATATCTTGTCTCTTGATTATCACAATTAAACCTTGTCTATCGTATTCAATCAAAATTAATGCATATGAAAAAATCAATAAATATTTGTTGAAATTCACGAAATAAAATTAAATTGGTGATGAGAAACTAAAAGTTGGAAATAAAGAGAGCGTATATTTTTGAAGGAGACATGTTAAGGTGTAAGTGGGGACGAAATTGTCTTGGGACGGTGTAGGAACCAAACACAATTCGTCAATGCCACATTATCTGTTTTGATGTTCAACAACTTCTATCAACAAAAACGAAGTTAGCACAACTTCTTCTTTTTCCTTGCTATGAGAACACCTTTATGATAAATTAAATCGAGAAATAAAAAAAAAAACTAAATGACGTACGTACGATCAACGAGTAGTACTCAAGTTCTCTTCCAATCGTTGCAAAATTCGGGTGTGGCTGTTAACAAGCGCCCACACATAATCAATGCACATGGCCATAACATGATCGTATTATTTTCGTCTTTATAGCGAGCCTAGCCTAGTTTCGATATATTACACAAAACTTGGAAAGTATATTGAATGCTTTATTAATTTCAAAGGTTGGCAAAACAAAAAAAAACAAGTATATATTAAATGACTAGGACATGTAGAGTATTGATTGATATATTTAAATATTTTTAATCATTTTATACTATATTTTAGAACAAATTTTATTTTTAATACTATTTTAGAAATTTCACCTAATATCAAACAGTGAAAATGCATTTATTTTTTTGCTTGATAGAGGGTTTCCAAAATTAATGCATGAGGAAAAAAAAAAAGTTCTGTATCAACTTATGTGTATAGCAATGGTCTATTATGACTTTGTGTATGTTATATGGATTAAATAGTTAAGTATGTTTATCACATCGGGATAAATATCTAGAAACCAAAAAATATGTAATTAAGAATCCCAATCAGAATTAATGTAATCGTTGAAAAACAAATCGATCGAATAGAGACAAATCATGTGATAATTGTTTTGATTTGGTAGCTAGCATATAGTACTCGCGTACCAGCATATACTTTTATCTCGCATTTAAAAATGCTTGAAACCATATTATAAAATGTGAAAGCTCATCAAAATTTAATAGAATAACGTCGGTGGAGATCGACGAGCCAACGTTATTCCATGAGTAAACAAATAACAATGCAATCTTTTCTTTATCATTAAAATTAGTTTCATGATAAAGAAGTTTCAATAATGTTGTCCTAAAACTCTTTCTAACCCGACTCATTCCTATTTTAAACCAGAAAAACTACACGAGAGCCTTTGCATAGATATGAAGGACCGTTTTGTTTGTGTTTATGATAGAGCTAAGCGTAAGTTAGTAGATTTGGTAGGAGTAGCTAGTGGAGATAAGAGTAGGATTTAGGGTAATTAATGAAGATTAGGTACCAAACGCTAAAAAGGATTAACATGGTGGAGCTTGGAGCCCACGTCTTCTCCGTACAGGCAGCCTTCTCTATCTTCTCTTTCCACGTACATTTTCCACTCTCTCTCCCTTTTTTCAAGCTTCATCATTAATTTCATTTAAGACATTAATTTTTTTTTTTGGTAGGATTAAGACATTTTGATTAACAATTTGATTAAGCTCTTATTTTGAAAGGAAAATGGAAACATAACAAAATATGTTACTTTTTTTTGGCAGCAAAAAATATGAAACTTAAATTATCTGTTATTAAAACAAACATTTTTTTAGCTGATGATTAATTGTTTTATCATTTTGTAAGACTATCAGAAAACATTACTCCGTTATTATGTTGTTGTTTTTTTTGTAATAATTTTTTTCGTTACTATATATGTTGTTCTGCTTGTAGATTATTCATCAAACTAATTTCATTTTATCATAGTAGTTTTTTAACTTATAAATTCCATTTTGTTTGTTTTTTTTTTCCTAAATGTAAAGATAAAACTATCTTTGGAATTGTCTGTCTTCATTTTTGTAAAAGAATCTCACATATTATTCCAAAATCAACATCTCCAAGGAATCCATAAAAGTTAGCTAATTAATTCTATAGTTATGGATACAAGATTTTTTCACTCATTTATTCTGTCAAAAAAAAAATTTCACTCACTAAAACATAATTTTCCAGCACAAAACAAAATTTACTTTTAAATCAGCATAATCAAAAAATAAATTGGTTCAAGAAAAGTCAAGAAACATAATCCTTATATATTTGAAAAATCCATCGTTTGATGATATAATTATTAATGGGAATAAAAAATTTCAACGGCGAAAAGAAAAGGGACAACTTTATTGTACAGCATATTTGCTTTATTTGTACTGAGAAAGAACTTTTTTCACAGTTGTAAAATAAAATAAAATAAAACATTTTGATATTTCTTTTTATTTCCCAACAAAAAATAAAAAAAAATCTTTTATAAATAATCACTCCCTATCTCTTCTTGTTTCCCCGTCCCCTGTTCTCACCAAACTCACAAGGTCTCTCTCTCTTTCTTTCTCTCTCTAACACATGAGAGAACAAAATCATCAGCTCACAATCTCAGCCGTTGATTATATCGCCACCGTCGTAGTAGAAGATGGAGAACACTCAAGATTTCTCGCCGCCCCACATGGATGCTTCTCGGCCGTCACTAGGATTCCCTCTTGGCACAGCTCTGCTTCTTATTATCATTTTCAGCCTCTCCGGAATATTCTCTTGTTGTTACCATTGGGACAAACATCGTTCTCTCCGCCGCTCTTTGGCCAATGGTCGTCCCTCCTCCGCCTCCGCCGACATCGAGTCTAATCCTTACAAACCTAAACCTCCTTTTCCGGTAACTCTTCTCCTCCTCTTCTCAAGTTAGTTTATATCAATTTCCAAATTGTGGACCTCTATGAATTATAATAATTTTTAGTTTTTATTTTTCTCATATAAACTACAGTTTTGAAACGTGTAAGCAAAACATTATGGTTTAATATTTACTTTAGTTTTTAATTACCAAAAAAAAACTATTTAAAAGAAATTTGTGGTTGTTACATGTATAGTAAATACAAAATTATGGTTTATTTTTGTAAATATGTTGGGAAAGCAGAGTTTTTATTAAAACAATATAAAATAACATTGTAGAAGTAGAAAGTTTAAACATTTGTGTTACTAGATGTTATTAATTTATAAACATAAAAACAAGTTTTAACAAAAAAAAAAACATAAAAACAAGTAAAGTTGAATGATTAACTAAGACAAATGATTCTTATGAACAGGACATGAAGAAACCTCAGAATCTGAGCGTGCCGGTATTAATGCCTGGAGATAATACACCCAAATTCATAGCATTGCCGTGTCCGTGTGCGCCACCTCGACCGGAAAAACCCACCGTAGATGTCCAAACTCCGCCGCAATCGCCACCTGTCAAGCCACCGCGTTTTCCTGTTCCTTTGTATTAGATTTAATTAGCTATAAGATAACAAAAAAGGCGGAAAAAATGTCGAAATATCTCGTTTTTATGTACATATGGATCATAAATTTTACAATTTAATTTTTTTTTATCACTGATTATTTATTTTTGTATTCAGTTGGTATAAAATGAAGTGGTCTGATTGTGCAACAAAAAAAAACAGAATAACACGATTGTTAAATCAAACTAAATTATGGAATTTGAGGTTAATTTTTACGTTTTTCTTTTTCTATTGACAACAATAATCTTTGAAAACTGGATATTTTGTATTATGTGAAAAAGATAAAAATAGCACAGTTATTTTGTTTTTTATGTTTAATATCCTACACCTATTTTGTGCTACTACCTATGTAATCACAAAACACATGGCACATTTCGTCAGACGATATTTTCGATGTCGATGTCCTGATGCAATTCTGTTTTTCTTTGCCTACAAATGAATTGATAGACGAAACTGAATATTACTCCCTCCGTATTTTAATAATTGTCGTTTTAGGATTTTATTTTTTAAAAAATTAGATGTCGTTTTCAAATTTCAATGCAAAATTTTTTACTTTTTAATGTTTTATGATGTCATAAAACATTAAAAAGTAATAAATTTTGCATAGAAATTTGAAAACGACATCCAATTCAAAAAAATAAAAATTCTAAAACGACAATTATTAAAATACGGAGGGAGTATGAATTTTTATGTTTAATTTTTTTTATACCAAAATAATAGATTGCTAGCAAATTAAGACATCTCGAGATCTGTTTGAATTGTACCAGAAATAGCCAATGAAGATTGCATGATTCTTCACATTTCCTTTTATATCAATAATCCACAAAATTAAAAGGTGTTTTGTGCAACCACGTTTGATGCTTTAATTAGAAAAACTGCAAAACCAAGTTTCAATCTTGTGCGTTTACAACAAGAAGTCTTCGCAATTAATCATATATACATTTACATTATGGACAAGAACTTAATAATTGTTTCTTTTCCGCCAATAGATATCTAACTCTTGGATAGGGTAAAGAAGATAAAACAGATAATAACACCATATTTTTTCAAGTTCCTACAAAATGAGACATGTTTTTAAATGGAATTACTGAAATTGACGTCTAACCACCAAAAGTTCATTTGGTTTTGATTAGGACAAAATACGAATTAGACGTTAAATAGCTCTCCGTTAATTACGATACCTATTCCGTTAATTGCCAAATAAAAATTCCACACTGTTTAATAAAGTTAGGGACCCTCAAAATATAAAAAAAACTTTATATTTGGCACTAAAGTTTCCAATCGGAAATTGACGTCACTGGCAAGTTTTCTTAACCAAGTGCTCTCTAAACACATCCCCACCACTTGGACCCCTCCAACATTAACAATCAACTTCATGACCTAATTTCACTATTTTTTATTTTATTCTTATATTTTTTATGATTTGATGAATTTCAGTCCTGTTAAATCCATTGGTTGATCCTAATATTCTAATCTAAATTATCCCCGAATCTGATCGATAGAGATTTATCTTTTGCTCGAGTCCACTAATTATCAATTATGCAACCAAATAACATACAAAAAGGTTAATAAATTAACTCGAAGTTTCGAATCAAATCTCTTTTTAAGCATATCAAGCAAGTTTAGAATTTCAAAACGCGTCACAACAAAAGGAAACAATAACAACAGAAAAAATGTCAGAAGTAAATTTACTTCATTGAATCAAAAAGTAATGAAATGTTTTGTAAGAGTTTTTTTTTTTTTTTCATCATGTTTTGTAAGAGTTAGATATTACTAAAAGATGCAAAATAAACAGTGTTGTTTCAAGTGCGTCCTACACTGGAAAGTACAAATTGACTGTACTGATTCCTTTGATGACGTTATCTATGCTTCGTGGTTCTTCCGCGACCATTTTTTTGGAGATTATTTGGTTTGTTGGTATTAAAAATTTATTGCATATCTAGTAAAATAGTTCCATTAACTATATAGTTGCATTTATTTAGCTTACCAAAAAAAAAAATATAGTTGCATTTATTACGATAAGAAATTAAAGCGATTATGAACACACCAGTAACATAAAAACACCTAAGTCTAAGTAGTTGAGCTCAAATTTCTATGTATGCAAATGTTATATGTGATGTTTTCAATGTTCCAGAAACTTATACGTTTAAACAAGAAGAATGTCAAAATTTTGTATGATACGCGTATCTTTATGTTGTCTACTCATAAATTATGTATATATAAATCACATTATTATTAGTAGATCTAATTTACTAGATTACTATAATAATTATAATTATTCTCCAAAAAATTGCAGTACCATTTATTTAAAAATTGTCATAATAGTATTGCTAAAAAATATTATCATGAAAACAGTAGTATTAAAAAATACTGTTGTCATATGAAAGCATGTGAGGGCACCGCAATCACCGCTGAAACCTAGGGATCATGCCATTTTATCTCTTTTTTGTTTTTGTTTTTAGCTGATAATATGCTGAAACACTAAAAAAAAATCTACAAGATTTCCCCTCATAAGAGAACATAAAAAAATATATATAACTACTGTATAATTCAGAAGAAATTGTATAATATGGTTGATAAATAAATAAAATTATGAATTCATGCTTTCTCTTAAAGATATTGTGGAAGTAAGAACATTTTAACTCGGAATTTCTTCACTATTCTAACAAAACATCTAAACTTAACAATAAATTCTTCTATTTCAAATTTTTCGTAATTAAATTTTGAAGAAATTTTTCCGTGATATATTATAGTTGGTACGCAAAACGTACATTCCTCGAAACAACTCAACAGTATGTAGTCAACTAAAAAAACTAAGAAATGTATTATTAAGAAAATAAAAATAATTTGAAAGAAAATGATGAAAAGTAGAGTATAATGTAAAACGTACGGATGATAAGCAAGACAAGAGCGGGCCTCAGATTGAAGAAGGTCACATGGGGAACATTTCTTAGTGCTTCTCTTATCCTGATGTCACGTTTTTTATTTTTCCTCTAATCGTACAAAATTTTCATTTATTTTTTAAAAAAGATATGAATTCGAATACAGAAGAAATGGATTATTTTATATAAAGAAACGGTTGTAGTGGAAATCCATGTTAAAAGTGGTAGGTACATGTAGTTTTAATTGAAAAAACTTCTCCATGGATTAGTACCAACTCCTTTGCAGTCAAAACCACAAATTTGCTTAGAATCTAGTTTTGTATGGCATTGGCCACATAATCTAAAAGCATTTAAATCTTAATTAATGCAAGTTTACGTAGTTTGTGGTAGAGGTTATAATCCATCATAATTAGGCGTGACACCAATTGGATTATTCAAGTGTTATCGATAGATTCGTCCCTAAACTAATTTTAAAAACTTTTGATGAATGCTTTTGTAAAAAACTTATAGTTTAAATAACAAAATTTGGCCATCATCAATCCATACCTGTCCCATTATATTCTCTTTTTCGACCTTTTTTCTCTTCTGTAATATCTGTCAGGTATGATTAAGAAAGGGCTGCTACACAACTTGTTGGGCTGCTTCAGAATTCGAAAAGGATTCATCATTAGTTTCCAAATTGTAGATAATGTTAAAACTCGGATATGGACCAATGTTATATCATACACACGTGTATATATGTATGTATATAGATTCATATACATATGATTTTGCAAGTTGCATACTGAGATTCTTGGTTAGACTTGCCTAATAAAATTTATGATGTTTGCTATTTGAAGCCAGTTTTAGGTTAATCGAGACTTTTTGTTTTTTGACCTTAAAGGTAATTGAGACTTTGTTCTTGCTATTGTTTAACCTTTTATAGAAAACGTTTGATTTATGTTCTCTATATTTTTTTTTTCCAATCATTGCGATTAGTGTTAAAAATATAATTCAAGAATTAAGTGAGAAACATGACGTATCACCAAACGAGCAAAATGAATGTTATATAGGCCTTTTCTGTTTGTTGTCTCTCCGGATTATAGCGTAAGCCTCATTTTCATCATGCTATTGAGTTTTTGTTGTGGCAAGTTGTTTCATAGTGCCCAAGTGGAGTTTTTTTTCTTGATTAAAAAATCATTATATTTTGTTTTTATACTTTCCTTTATTGGACATTTGGATGTGTGTTACTTCATTCTTTACATGTGATGATTCCTCAGTCCAATGATTAATTTTTTCCATTTGTATAAATGAAATAACTCAAGGGACAAAGTACTATTTTTAGACACAGTTGTTATCCCATCAATCTGATACATAATATATCTGTTTATTTCTAAGTTTTTTGCACAAATTAAAAATTTTATTTCTAAGTTTTTGGAAAATTTATTTAATATAACTAGAATATTCATAGGAAGGTATTTTCATTAATGGGCTAACTAAATATGAAATATTTATAAAAATCCAAAATAAAAGACATTAGTTACCATTCAGAGCCAATAAGCTGTGGATAAGAAACTTGCTCAAAATTTTGTTTATAGAGATGATGATAGTGAAATGATTCATGCCCCTAGTGGAAGAAAAAATAACACTAATGATGGACATACTTTTTTAGGGATGCGATTGATTGATCGATCTTTCTGACATTAAGTCTATGTATGGTCACGCCACGCCGGCTGACGACTACACTACCTTTCGTAAAGCTCCGTAGCTATTTCAATCGACGGCTGCTTGGTTTTGATATTTGAGTCGATCTTCCTTTGTCCGCAAGTTTTAGAGTCTTTGTCAATTCTCGTACATTCTGCAAACAAAGTGACACAAGTTAATCATGCAACAAGTATTAAATGTTTCGTTACCTTCTACAACAAACAAAGAAACTCAAGCCATATTCTTTCAATATTGTGCTTATTAAGGGATTCACTGGATCAGTACTTATTCTATAACTCTACTAACCATCAATGCAGCTATATAGCTTAGGATCTAGCAAGAAGTATCGGGTTGAGAAGATCAATCCTTTACGATTAAGCAGATCAACAGCATGGAAGTGGATTGTAAAAAAAAACAGACTAATGCACTAATAAGAGAATGTACGTGGAGGAGAAAAACTGACTATCCAAACTGACTACCTTATGTGGCTTAGTGTGGAATTAAATGCAGACAGAGAAACCTAAAATCTCTCCATAATTCAGTTGCATATAGACAAATCATCACTTTGTAGTTATGCAGATATCTTCAACGGCATAATCTAGAGCGCATAACCACGAAACGAACAAGCTTTCATATTGATACCCTACCCGTCACACTAACCCTCCAAAAAGGATCAACATCCATATTAGTTGCTTAGAACTATGGACTAAGACGGATATAAGACTTGGACCATTATTAAGAGCTACAACATGTTTGTCTTCCCTAGTTGCCTGATCTGGCTGAAGAGAAGAAACCAAACTTCTTTGGCCGGTATAACGATAAAAAGAGCTGCCAAAAAGAAATAGAAGATGAAGCTAATCTACTAACACCTATGCATAATACTAATCTAGTATCCAGAATGGTTAGTTAGCTCCTCAAGACTACTTCTTCTACCTTAAGATTTCAGCGGCAAAATCGACACAGACTCTGATCTCTATCTTCCAAAGCTAAGCAACGTATAACCAAAGCTAATCACAATGAATCTGTGACCTAAACACACTGAAAGCATAATGAAACCGCACAGAGAGAGCAATGTGCAGTGGTTAGAGTCTCACCGTAGAATGAACCGGAGGCGGATCTATAACAACGGAGCGAATAGACATCCTAGCGATCTCGGAAATGGCAGCCTCAACAACATCAGGTACATCACTGGTAAGCTCCTCATAAGCAGCCTCGAAGGCCTCTTGCCAAAACCTCGGTAATCTTATACGACGGCCATTGTTATACACATCCCACATGTGCTTCACCACTTTCTCCCTCTCCTCCATTTCCTAATAACCTCAACACAATCAAAACCAATTCAAAAAACCGATTCACAGACGTCCGAAAACGAGATCGCGAAGAAGAGACTCACAAGAACATCGAGATCCTCGTGGATCGGAAAGACGAGATCGTCGGTGAAATGGTTGATGTTACCGGCAGACCAACGGAGATTGACAGTGCCTGTGAGCATTGACCAGAAAGCGAGTAACAGAATCGCAGCTAACGCCCAAAACTTGTATCGGCCTTTGGAGAAGAGAGCGGAATAACCGGTTTCCTTCTTGGCATTCACCGTCGTGGCCGCGACGGAAGAAGTGCTTAATGGTAAGGAATCTCCATCCTTCATCTGTAAAGAGCTCGAGTGTCGGCGAGATCAAACGGAGATTAGCCGTGAACGGAGGATTGTTTCTTAATCGGAGCTTCTCTGTGAAAACACCATCGATGAAGAGAAACCAAAAAAAAAAAGGAGATCTAGGAGAAAACATATATTTTGGGCTAATAAATAAAGCCCATTGAATCTATACTTTAAGCCCATTAGATCTATACTTTAGGCCCATTGGATCTATACTTCAGGCGCACTGATAAATTCATAATTACAGGTGCGTTGACAATTCTTTAACCACACGACCACAGTGCCCCCATGTAATGATGAATGCGTTGATTGGTGGAGGCACAGTCATTAACATTATAATCACTCTTATGATTAATTAGCCTTTTAAACTTTTTGATTAATGTAATACGGCTTTTTATTTGATGATGCATCCTTCCAAGTTCGAACATCGGTCACTGTCAAATACAAACCCTAATTCCAATTATCGAGTGATTATATATTTACCTCAAAGCAATACTAGAATTATACTATAAACCTTTTATTTTGTATCTCAATTCGTTCTTGGGATAATTAAGGATTTAATATTAATGTTAACTCCAATAATTATCCAAGATAAACATCTCTTTTTAATTTCCTTTTTTTGTTATACAACTGAACTCATAATGTTTTCCCCAGGAAAAAATTCAAACTCACAAGGGAATTATATAAATTATAAACACAACATCTAAGGTTTATAAGCGCTAGTATTATTTAAAATAAACAATAATTTTGGTTTATTAATTTCAATCTTTTTTTTTTTTTTTTTCGTCAGGTTTATTAATTTCAATCATGATAACTCATTTTACAAGCAACTTCCACCATAACCTGCGTTTCTGAATAATGCTTGTTTTATATCCTCCGATGTTATGAAATCTCTCTGCTCAGCTCCCTATATATAAACAAACTCATCAATATTGTCATTACAAATACTATATAATTAAGATACCATAGAGTATATTTTAATATTAATCGATACCTCAGAACAAGAAGCCTGCAAAGAGAAATCACTAAAGCAGCTTATAACACATTGTTCAATCTCCAAGCCTAGAGTCTCTAATGTATTAACAGTCGATAGAAGCAGTCCCGGTTTCGGCGAGCAACATATATCAACCCGAGTATCCTCATCTCTCCGATCTATTTCAAACTATCAAAACATAAACATAATTTACAAAATCTCCATCAGACATATAGTATATTTTAGAGATCTGTGATTTTTGTTTTGTTTGTTAAAAAGACAGGGGGGGTTGTTTATAACAATTCATAAATACAAGGGCTAATATGTAAGAAAGAAAAAAACAAGAGCAGTGTAGTAGTAGTAATATGTAAAATATCTTTGTACCTTTGGAGAGTTTCTGACCAGAGATTCGTTTGCATTAAGATCCTTGAGATCACCGAAGAGCTTAGAGTGATGTGAATTGTCGCTATTTCCAAGTTCTTGTTCCTCATCTTGTAATTTGTTGATTTTGTCTAAAAGCTCTTTCATGTAATCTATGGCATCTCCTAATATCGATGTCCTGTCCATCTGATTTTTTTGAAAATACCAATGATCATTATTTAAAAAAACTTTTATATGATTTATTTATCCACTTTTCAACCGGTTCTGTAGATTCCCTTAAAAGTAAGAACACAATAATTAAACAATCTTGAAAAAAAAGGTTTTCAAACAAGAAGAAACAAACACATAATGTTAAAAAGATTAAAATACAAAAGGCTGAATTTGAAACCAGTTTATAATCAATTCACTCTTTATAAAAGGACGAATCTTTTGTTGTTTTTTCTTAGACATTTTTTTTGAATTAAGAACACAAAAACCGTAGCTAGGGTTAGATTTTGGGGTAAATCAAGAAGATTAAAAAGGTTATTTTCTTTATGAACATATATAATAATGCATTAACCTACTCATTAAAAAATGATCAATCTTTTGTTGATTTTGACCATTCTGATTCTGATTCCAATTATCTTAAAAGGTTTCAAAAAGAAAAAAATTATAGGTCAGAATTTTTATTTACCTTGCTGATTTTTGGAACGATGGATCGGAGCATTGAAAGACGATCGTTAAGTCGTTTTCTCCGTCGTCTCTCCGCCATGAGATTCTTAGAAGGTTGGCCTTCGAGTTTTTTATTCTTCTTCTTGTTCGTCTCTCCCCCACAGTAACCAACACTGAAGCTCTTGCTCTGATCAGACTCCATCAATGGAGATGGATACGACGTGGGATTGTTAAAGTTCTCTTCTTGACCATTTTGAAGGATCAATGGAGGTGAAGAGGAAGAAGAGTCAATTATCTCTTGTAAAGCCTCAAGAAAAGGGTAATCAAATGATGCTGCGGCGGCGGTAGCGGAGGAGGATAACGGCGGAGACAGTGGTTGTAACGGTGGTGGTTGGTGAAGAAGCAATGGAGGAGGTTGAGAGATTAGATCCATGAAAGAAGAAGGATAAAGAAGGGTATTTTCGTCTTCTTCTTCATTGTTGAAACAGAGGTAATCAATATTATATGCATTTGGGAAGAATTGATGATGATGATGATGATCAAATCCGCCATTATAGCTCAGGTTGTTGATGTTGTTGTCGGTGGTTTCTTGCTTTGTCGGAACAAGAAGCTCTTCGAACACATTCATATGAGTCGACAATTCCATTTTTTCTCTCTCTCTCAAACTCTGTTTTCTGGTAATAGAATGGAAGAGAAAACAGAGAGTGTGTGTGAGTTTGTGGATTAAAGAAGATGAAGTGTATTTATATAAAAATTCAGAGATGTGTGTGTGTGAGAGTGTATACTATTAATTAAAATAAAGATTCCCGTTTAATTTGTGATTAATTAGTAAATATGGCTTTGTATAATGTATGGTTTTTATTTTGTTTGATAACACATTTTATTGTTTTCTCGTGACAAATAATAAAAACATTTTTGTTTGCTCTAGCCTATAGCTATAACTAGATTAGCTATATATTACAAGACTTGACATGAATCGATGTAGTTTTTATTTTGGTAAGTTTAGCCTATGAAAAAAGAGAAAGTACTGCTAACAGAGTTTCACTCAAAATCATATAAAACACACAAGTTTTTTTCATTTGGGAAACAATAATCGAATTCTTTTATAGGAAACTTTTTGGTTTAATGATTGATATTACTGCAGTAAAACTTTTACAAGTTCTGCAATTCGTGTGTATGTTGCGGATTCTAACATTTGTCGTGCATTGTATGTAGACAGATTCGTCCATTGAAAGAAATACCATCATACATTTAGATATTAGTCTAAATGACAACCTATGTGGTTACTCTAATCATTTTCATCAAAAGTTTAAATTTCTGGCCGGCTAATTAATTTTTTTTTTTTAACATTTATATATGAAATATGGATCATGGTTTAAACCGTGGAGATCTTTAAAAATGTAGACACTCCAAATCATTAGGTCACCATAAATCTAGCATATGTTTGATACGTTGATTTTTTTGTTCTTGTCTGTATTTTCTACATTTTTCATTTGCTAAAGAACTCTGTAATTCACATCAATAGGCTACAAACCCCAATTATATTTGATACCCTAATTATATATAAATGTTTTCATAAAAAAATCTCTAAGAGAAAAAGGGTATTTTTAATTAAATATTTAAAATTATTTTATCACTATTTTTTTAAAACGAGTTTCTTAATTATAATATTTATAGTTTATTAACATAGCGTAAATTATCTCTTTTCAATATAAAAGCCGACTCTGAATTGTTGGGAAAAAAAGGGAAACTGGACACAAAAATTTAGGTCTTATTTATTATATCAATGAAAATGTATTAATCTAATTGTCTGAGTTATCTAATTGAGAAACAAACAAAAAGAGAGTAATAAACATTGATTAATTCCCTTTCCTTACAGGAAAGCTTTGATCCCACAAATTTCATGTCTCGACGAAAACGGATGAACATTTGTCTACCCCTCTTGCTTTGTTTATTTATTTTGTCTGCCATTTTTTTATTTTTATATATATATTTACATATTAATGATGAAATATTGTTACTTAAAAAAAAAAAAAAAAAAAGAGAAATATTGTTACTCGTATATTGTGTACGTAATCGTCTATTGTGTAGACGCATATTCTACTAAATTGCGTCTAGATCTTGCCTTAATTTGATAATCAGCATCACTTGTTTTAAAAATTGCAATTTGACCCTTAAATCAAGGTAATCTTTGTGAATAGTAATCTCATTTTTTCAAGCGTAGGCCTAGAAATAATTGTCATATGTGTTCACATTTGTCTTACGTTTGATATGACGTTTATTCTTTTAATTAACGCTTTTGCATAGTCAAGTTGGATGGGCTATTCGCGGTAATTATTATGAATATGAAGTTATGAACTATATAATGACCGAAAAAATTGGAGCTTTTAGAATTTTTAAAGATATATTCTCGTTCTCATAGTACTACTGTATAATTGTTTGCCATCAAGGGCACAATTAGGGGTGTAAATTAACAAGTCTGAAAGTAAAGGGGTGAAATCTGAAACTATATTTATTGAAGCAAATCTAGCTACTTGACTGCTAATAGCCTAATATTATACGAAACAGAAATCCATGGAAAATCACGCATACATGCCTAGAATGTAGCTTTTTCATTTTTGTATGTGTAATTTTTTATGTCTGCATGTGAACTCATTGCTCCATCTTCAGTGCCACTCTCATATAGAAAACCTAAAAAAAAATGTGAAGAAAGGAAAATAAAAATAGGAAATATAAAAAGAAAGAGAGCACATGGTAAAGAGAAGCTCCATGTTCACGAAAACAAACAAACTGTCTCCGGCCTCTCTCGTCCTTTCAGTTCATTCACTTTCAATCTATGATACAACATTCACATTCACTTTCACTTTCATATAATACATGTGTGAGTCTCTGATTTACCAATGGATTTTCTTACTAAGGTTTTCTTACCAAGTTCTTTGATTTAATGATGAATCTCTGCAAATATATAATTTTATCTACGTATGAAAATATCGTTTACTTGTCCACAAATTACTACTATCAAATAGTAAAAGACTTAATATAAAGGTCCGACCATTTTTGGCATATATAACGTAGAAAAAAAAAACTATCAAACGAATATTGTGACCGAATATTCATATATTGTGACGACAATAATCGTGATAATATTGAGTTTTTACTATAGATTATATATGATGGACTTAAGTCATTCTAAAGTTATATGCATTAACAGTAAATTATCGTGTAAATACATACATATTGCGATAAACCCAACACGTGTCTCTTTAGGAACATCCACAAATGAGTATATAACAAATGTGTGTGTGTTAATTATAAAGATGAGTGTGAAGAAGAAGAAGAAGAGACGGACAAGTCTGTGGTTAATGGGATCGAGGCTTGTTTGTATTCAGAAGCTATGATATGCGTGAGAGTTTGTGGGGTTACATTAGAGATTCAGTGAACTGTCTCGTACTGCATTGTGACCCTCTCCCTAATTAATGATCTTCCATTATCTCTTTTCTTCTTCTTCTCCTTCATCTTCTTCCTCTTCACATGACGTGACTAACCAAAAAAGCTGCTCCTCAATTTTCATTATAACTTCGTCTTCTTCTGTATTAATTTCTCTTTGGATTCTAATCATAAGTCAAAGCCCTCACTAGATATAAGAAAATTCGACTGAGAGTTACAATACACGATTTTGTTTTGTTTTTGTTGTCATTAATACAGCTAAAAATCTAAATTCTATATGGATTTTATTTGTATTAAAATAATTATTGTCATTTAAGTATAGTTGGTTTATTATTTTCTTCAACCAAATTAAAACTACCTTTTTGTTTTACTATCTCATATTCTCATTTAGCGGCCGAGAACTCACCTTAACAATTAAAATACACTAAAATTAATATTTTTCTACTGCGATTTTGGTCATCGTTTACAAATGTAAATACTGTACCTTATATCATAAGAAATTTATTACAGTTTTAGTTTACATTTTTTTAGACACATCTAAATAATATATCTACTGTGTTTCTAATTTACATATAGTTATATAACACTCAAATGACTAACAAAAATAAAATAAAAAACGTATAATGAAAAATAGAAAAAAAAAATCAGTATAAAATATAAAATTAAATCCGGAAATCACAAACAGATTTAATACTCATGAGCCCAGGAAAAAACAGATGTACTACTATTCGAGTTAAGCATTTGGAGAAGAGATGACAAAGAGAAGGGGACAAGACCACGTGAAATATTTTTTCAAGCTCAAAAACCTACGTGGCCTTTTTTCAAGCGTCCACGTGTCAATCTTACCATTGCTAGGCATCTTTTCCGTATGCGCCAAAAATCAAAATATTTTTAAAATGCGAAGCAATAGTAATTAGATCTCTTAATTTAAATAAATTAACTAAAAATCGTAGCTTAAATTTTTTTATCTTAAAACCAAACCTGTTACTGACAAAAATAAGATTTTCTAACATTTTTTTTATCAAACAAAATAATAGTATACGGTACGTGTGTCATTTTTTAAGGGAATACATGAGATGAGAATAAGCTTAAATCGGGGGATGCGATGCAGAGTGCAGGATATGTTTTTTTTTGGTTCTTGAACAAATAGTTTATTTTATTAATTCTGGGGAATAGTTATTTTGACTTCCGCCAGAAACCATATTATTGTCTAATTAAGGACAATTCCTCGAATTATTTATAAAATCCTACCAGGTGTATTTTATATGTCTTTTTCTTAAGATTTCTATATTACATAATACATATGTATCTCAGTATCTGAAAGAATTTCGAAACGATTATATGAATTTTCCTTGATTATTCCAAAATAAACTATTTAAGAATGGAAATAAAGAAGAGTTGAGCACTTTAGCAGCTATTCAAATATTTTATCGACACGCAAATGTCTTAAATTAGTTGTCCTAATTGAGAATCTGTGGCTAGAAAATATATACTACAGTAGTTGATTGACTACTCTCCAATTTATTTATTTGTCAAAAACCATATATTTCAATTTTCGTACGTAACGAGATTTTGTTTGCATTGCATGAAATCGGTGGACAAGCCCATAGTTTATGCCTATTCTCTCATCAAAACCGCTTTTCACTTTCCCCTTTGGCCGCTCTTTTCTTTTTTTTTAATTTGCTTATTATTATTAAAACATTAAAACTTTTAGTGAACGCCTAAGCAAATTATCAAAACTATAGTTATGAGATTTAGCCGTTTAGGTTAAACACTTGAACACAAACAAAATGGATTTAGGTTAAACGGAATGACTAAAATCATACAACGACTATACAGATTAAAAGTTATACGAAGAAAATACAAAAAAAGTTTCAAGAAATGTTTTTAATTGAAGGATGTTAAAATAAAGTCCGTCTTAATTTTCTCTACAGATTATGTACAAATTTCATGTCAAACATACACATAATGTGGTAAAAACATGTTTAGAAAAATTAAAGACCCCATTTTTCGATACTATCTTAGTCAAGTTAGTTCATGCACCTCACCATTTTTGCATCTACGTATAAACGAGCTGGTATTTTTTTTTCTAAGTCACTATCCTAGAGATTTAGAGTATATGAATCTTATCATATCTAGATGCTAATACAATTACTAGCTCACAATAATGACTATCTAGTTTTTATTATTAGTACTAATTGTAAGCGTGGTGTACACATAAAAAGATTATACGAATAACCTTAATCATATATTTAGAAGTATCGTG